GAGATCGATGGTTGAGATTGACTTACTCATCCTTGGGCGCGACGTGGCTCCATCCTGAGGCCACAAGGACGGACTCACAGCTGCTGGCAGGTGCTTTTTCGCTGCTGTTGCAGCGAGGAAGACGTTGTGGTGCTGCTGTGTTGTGTTTTGATGTTGTTTGCTGGAATTGACGTGTTGAAGGAAAATTTTTTTGGGAATATTGGATTGTGCTGGATGTTTTAGAATTGTAGTGGGCTGGGTCGGTGGGGCTGCTTGTATTGTCGTTATTATTTTATTATTGTTGTGCGTTATATTGTATGTAATATGGGTCATTTGGATTTTTATTGGAATGGGTTGGGAGGAATTATAATATTGGGTTGGCTAGGAATTATTGTGGTAGGCAATTTAAGTTTAAGACTTAGCCAACTTGATCAAATTTAATAAATTTGGCTAATAATTAGATAAGACGAATTAATATTAATTAATTAACGAGCTTCTTAATCTTAACGAAATAAAATAATTAATTCAATTATAAACTAATTAATTTAACAATATAAACGACTAAATAACCAAATGTTTAAATAAAGAAAAATCTTTTGAGACAATTTTCGAACCTTCATAAAATATACTAATTAGACACATAATTATATAATAATTAACTTAATTATAAACTAACTAATTAACTCAAAATTGCAAACTACTAAATAACTAAACAAACTAACCAATATTAATTAAACAAAATATTTTGAGACGATTTTTGAATATTTATAAAGTTCAGAATTATACACATATCATTTAAAAATTATAAAAAGTGACAAACCATTTAAACTAACTTGAAAAATATTTTAAATTTTATAAAGTCAATTATTTTAAATCATTTGAAAATTAAGAAACTCAGAAATTAATTATTATCGGGGAGGGTCAAAATTGGGTGTCAACATCCTCCACACTTCACCTCCAATGAAACAATCATTTTGCCTTTCATACCCATATTGTCTTTTTCTAGTAATAGCAATAAGTTGAGGAAATGTATAAAACTTGTAGCTTTTATATATAGATGTTAATTAAAGAAGCTAACCAATAAAAGATATTATCCACCACATAACTATATGACTATATCTCATAGTGGCGGTGTTAATTCAATTATGTATAAGTAGGTTTTAGTTTGGTTATAAATTTATCATGATATTTTACATACTCATGATAATTGAAATATGAAGACAATACAATTATAAGTAATCAGGTATATTTATTTTTATATAATCGCATCGGTCATGATATTCATAATCTTGCTTCTTTTTGGGTCAAATTATAATTTCATTTTGCTTCTTCCAATCGTCGAGTCTGATCGACTCGACTTTTTCCCTATCCCGGGTCTCCTCTCAATTCATTTTATTCTTCTTCTGTACTGTCACTTGAATGAAGACACTTGATCATCCCGACTTTCTCAAATATTCCCACCGACCCTTTTTTTTTATGAGTCTGGATTAATTACTCCTGTAAAAATCATCTCTGCCAAACAAGTGAATAATGTTACAAAAAAAAAAATATGCATCATCAAATATATATTTTCTTTGTCTTATTTTTGTTGCACACATAGGCATACAAAGATTTGTTATGGTGTTATATGCACTATACGTGTGCTAACCTAATTAAAGATTTGTTAGACAATTTTACAAAGTAGATGGGACTTTTTTCAAAATCACGATGATAATTATTTCGTTATTATAACATTAAAATTTCAACAATATGTACATGTTCAAACATAATTAAATTTAATAATTAAACACAAAATTAATATAAATAAACCTAAAGAATTTATACTTTGGTTAATTTTAAAATTTATCGATAACACACCTCAAATTCGAAGAAATTATAAGAGTTAAATTATTTTAAAATGTGAATATAAATAAATAAATTGATTGACATATTTCAGCAACACTTGATAATTGAATAACAATACACATCAAATTAAGCATTATTAAAGTCTGGACTGATGTATTCAAAATCGTGAGAGACGAAATCACGATTTTGATCAATACATCGCTCCAGACTTGATAATTTATGTGATATTATTTGACTTTTCAATTTGATAGTACAATTTTTTCGGTTTGATTTAAACACCTTCATGCTTAGCCTCAAATTTATAGGGTTACTCCTAATTTGTAATATATGGCACTATAGAACATAGAATAGCATGGGAAATTATAACCTCTACTCTTATTTGATTTTCTTCTGAGTTGTATCTATGAAACATCAAAATATTCAATGTAGGGGTCCATGTTGAATTGATCATTACTAGCCTTTTCTTTTTTTGGCTATTAATTTCTTCAATTTATTTAGTTGTATCATCTTCATGTTATTAATGATGATAAGTTGTACATATATATACTGCTAATGTGATGATGTTTATTACTTTCTTCGATTTATATTATATGGTGTTTTTACTTTTTCATTTCTTATTTCTTAGGAGTGATGTTTTTCTTAAAGGGTGTATCCAAATTAAAAATATCATATAATATGGACGGAAGGAAGAATTAAGTCATGAAATTTGAAACTCCTTACGTAGGTGAACCATGATTAAGGTGGCTATGTTGTCGATAAACTAAATTAAAGTAAACCATAATAGGAGTGATGTTTAATTATTTGACTCTCTTCGCTAAATTAAAGTAAATATTTCAATACTCATACTGATGGGAAGATCAATAATGATGCATATAATGAGGGAGGCTAACTCAGTAGCAGATATATTAGCGAAATATGGAAGGAAAATTATGGATCCAAGTATGTCTATGAACAAGTTGTTTATTTTTGAAGCATCTCCTTCCTTTACATCAAAAGCTCTTGAAAGAGATGCGAATAGAACTATATCGTTTAGATCAGTTCCTTTTTGTATGGATGAACCTATTATTTAATAAATAAAATCCTTTCAGTTCCAAAGACAAAAAAAAAAAAAAAACTTTACTTCTCCAATTTATATCTACTTGCTTAATTTCCTTTGCCTAATATCTATATTGGACCATGCCTATTGCGTTAGCAAGACGATTGTGCAAGACGTAATTTTTTAATATTTTTTTTTCTAGTTAAATTTGACATTAAAAATATAATTCATAAAAATAAATTCATTTTTTCATTAAGTTGTATTAATTTAATAGGATAGTGACTTAAAAATTTATTGTTTAGAGGTCAATTGGAAAACATGTAAGAAATTGTATTATTTTTTATTGAATCATTTCATTTACTATCTTGAATATTTTAGCAGCTTTAAAGAAATTATCTTAATAAATAATGTTTTATCACTCTTATAACAAGTAAAAAGTTAAAAATAAATTTGAATCAACGTAAAATCACATATACCCACAACCCGCCCCGCCCCGCATTAATTTTAAAAAAAGCCGCCTCAACCCGCCCCGCATCCCACCCGCCCCGACCCATTGTCATCCCTAGATAGTGTACAAGTTTGAATATATGTACTTTGAATGAGAAAAGACTAAAAATAGTCTATTATCTTTGGAGTTGGATTTAAAATAATCCTATTTTTTTTTCATATATAGATCACTAATACTCCACATTACACCAAAAAAAAATCTTTAATGCGAGTATCACATTACACCAAATGATCGGGAAATTTCTAACATAAGATAAATTTCAGGCAGTTAATGGGTGGAATCGGTGGAGTTATAAGGGACCATCTAGGCAGTTGGATTGTAGGATTTTCTTGCAAAGTAAAAGTAGCTAATGCCCATCATGCGGAACTACTAGCTTTGCTCCATGGTTTGAATCTAGCACAAAAAATAAACATTAATCATTTGCTCGTGGAGACCGACTCTTAGGTATTACTTAACACCTTAGAAAGTGCTCTTACTGATGGGAGGATCAACAATGAAGCATATAATGATGGAGGCTAACTCAGTAGCAGACATATTAGCGGAATATGGAAGGAAGACTATGGATCCAAATATGCCTATGAACAAGTTGTTTGTTTTTGAAGCATCTCCTTCCTTTACACTAAAAGCTCTTGAAGGAGATGCGAATGGAACTATATCGTTTAGATCAGTTCCTTTTTGTATGGATGAACCTACTATTTAATAATAAAATCCTTCCAATTCCAAAGACAAAAAAAAAAAAACATTACACCAAAAAAAATCTTTAATGACAATTAATTAACGGTAATAGCTTAATTGCCGCTAAATATATTCTTTAGAGACAATTAACACTCTTTGTAAATGTGCCTAAAATCTAACAAAAAGATTCAAGATTTAGTGTATAAAAAAAATATAAATGTAACATCAGAAGAAATACAAATAACTGATGATATATAGAACAATTATATAAAGGGAATCTGCAAATGATTCTAGCACAATAAAGAAAAAACATACATATGATCACATAACATAATTAAGTCTTAACATTTTAACAATATTGTTGCTTCAATGAAGCAAAGAGGATTTTATACGACTCCCGCTCAAGGCTTTTTAGGCACTTGAGGATTTCTGACTTTGACAAAGTTAGCGATTCAGGTTTAGGAATGACAGACATCTCAAGTTTCGGCAATGGTGGAAATTCAGACTTTGGTAATGTTGGGATTTTGGGCAATTCGGGCTTTAGTAGAGTTGGTAGCTCGAGTTTTGGGATTTTTGGAAATTCGGGCTTAGGCAAAGTTGGGATTTCAGGTAAATGTGGCAATTCGGGCCTTGATAGAGTTGGTAGCTCGGGTTTTGGGATTTCGGGAAATAATTTGGGCTTAGGCAAAAGCTGGAATTTCAGGTAAATGTGGCAATGTAGGCCTTGATAGAGTTGGTAGCTCGGGATTTGGAATTTCAGGAAATTTAGGCGTAGGCAAAGCTGGGATTTCAGGTAAATGTGGCAATGTAGGCCTTGATAGAGTTGGTAGCTCGGGTTTTGGGATTTCGGGAAATAATTTGGGCTTAGGCAAAGCTGAAATTTCAGGTAAATGTGGCAATGTAGGCCTTGATAGAGTTGGTAGCTCGAGTTTTGGAATTTCAGGAAATAATTTGGGCTTAGGCAAAGCTGAAATTTTCAGGTAAATGTGGCAATGCAGGCCTTGATAGAGTTGGTAGCTCGGGATTTGGAATTTCAGGAAATTTAGGCGTAGGCAAAGCTGGGATTTCAGGTAAATGTGGCAATTCGGGCCTTGATAGAGTTGGTAGCTCGGGATTTGGAATTTCAGGAAATAATTTGGGCTTAGGCAAAGCTGAAATTTCAGGTAAATGTGGCAATGCAGGCCTTGATAGAGTTGGTAGCTCGGGTTTTGGGATTTCAGGAAATAATTTGGGCTTAGGCAAAGCTGGAATTTCAGGTAAATGTGGCAATGTAGGCCTTGATAGAGTTGGTAGCTCGAGTTTTGGAATTTCAGGAAATTTAGGCGTAGGCAAAGCTGGGATTTCAGGTAAATGTGGCAATTCAGGCTTAGAAAACTCAGGCAAAATTACTTCAAGAAGATGGCGCGTCTGCTAGATTTATGTCGTTGTTTGTTAAAAACAAAGTGACAAATAATAACAAGTAAAAAGATGGGTTGTAGTGATTATAAGCCATTGTTGAAAGGAGATAAATGCTTCAAGACTAGTAATTTATGTTTTGGTTGATTATGCTAATATGCTTTATGTTTCACTTCAAACAAGTTTATATAGATGTGTGGTTGTGGAAAATAAAAATTAGAGAATTAGGCTTTGGTAGGAAAATTAGTTGTGTGTTAGTTCATCTTCTCAACAATAACCTCCTAATTTAATCTGACAATAAATTTCCTTGTGTAACATATTCAAGCACATAAGAAAAAGAGTTTGATTCTTCTTATCTCTGTTCTTAGTTAGAGCTTCTCATCCCCTTCTATCAATCTTTGGATTTGTCTTCCCCTCAATTAACATTCTTTGTTTCGTTTTAAGGATCATTAGTTGTTACTTGCTTGATATTTCCATTTCTAAATTGTATTTTGTGTTCTCAATGATTATAATACATATCATTATTGTTCCGTAACTTCAGTTGTTACACCTACCTTGGGGTCTCAGAAGGAACTCGTAAACTTTAATTTTGAATTTACCTTTCACTTGAATCAAGAAAACAGGACACAAAATATCGTTTGTGTAGAGTACTTATCTAATGATGCGTATTAGAGCCTTAGCTAATAATTAATGGAATATCAGAGTTCTTAGAGTAAAAATAAAACTGTATAAAATGCTATTTGAATCACAAATATATATTCTTCAAACATGACATTATATATAGAGGCTGGCGTACATAGTATATATATATATATATATATATTATTCTTCAAATTAAACATAATATTATTTATTTTACACGCTAGTTAGCACTAGCCAATGTTTTCAAATACTCATCACAGAAGAACAAACACACAAACACATAGATATATGTATGTATAGGACCATTGAACATCGTAGATTTTCAAATACTCATCACACAAGAACAAACACACAAACACATAGATATATGTATGTATAGGACCATTGAACATCGTAGATTTTCTAATTCTTGAGAAGGTGACCCTCTACATCCTTGATCACACCAATGCAATAATCCAAGATAGCAAGGGGTTCTGGAGTATCTTCAGTTTTCTTCTCATACACAAGTGCATATGTAATCCATTGATGTTCAGAGGATGTAATAACAACGAAGGAATTATACAAATCCAACAAATTTCCTTCAATCGCATTCCAAGTGATTGAATTCTTCTGAGGATCGATGGCTTCAATCACAGTCTTAGCAAACATTTCTTTTCCATCTATTCATTAAAGATCAGAAAATATAATAGATGGTACTCCCAATTCAAATGTTCAAATTCTTTATTTTATTTTCCCTCTTTTATCATTTTCATTTTAATAAAAATGATCTAATGCTCGTGAAGATTAGACTGATGGCTGAAGTTATTTTCCATGAAAAAATACATTGTAAAATATTAGTTAAAGTTCTTATCGTTTGATTCTATGAAAAGGAAAACATCACAATTAAAATGGACGGAGGGAGTAATAATTTAACAC